CAGGGCCGATTGGGGAGTTGCGGCGCCGGCCCCTGTCATGCACAGAGCAGGGCTGATCAGGAGGTTGTGATGCCACTCTTAGTCACACTCAGGGTAGGGCCAATTGGGGGGTTGGGGCACCACCCCCTGTCACACTCAAGGCAGGGTCGATGGGGAGGCTGCGGCGCCACCCCCTGTCACGCACAGAGCAGGGCCAATCGGGGTTGAGGAGCTCCCCCCTGTAACTCACAGAGTAGGGCCGATAGGGGAGTTGGGGCACCGCCCCCTGTCACACACAGAGCAGGGCCAATCGGGGTTGGGGTGCCGCCCTCTATCACCCACAGAGCAGGGCCGATCAGGGGGTTGGGGCGCCGCCACTGTCACACTCGGCAGGGCCGATGGGGAGGTTATGGCTCTACCCCATCACACACAGAGCAGGGCCCGTGGGGGGGGGGGCGGGTTGGGGCGCCGCACCCTGTCACACACAGAGCAGGGCCGATCAGGGGGTTGGGGCATCGCACCCTGTCACACACAGAGCCACAGGGCGATCAGGGGGTTGGGGAGCTCCCCCCTTTCAGGCACAGAGCAGGGGTGATCAGGGGGTTTGGGCGCTGCCCCCTGTCACGCTGATCCCGGTGCCGGGAGGCCTCTCGGCTCCGCTGATCCCGGTGCTGGGAGACATATTACCCTTTTACTATATAGGATAGAGGCCTGGTGCATGGGTCGGGGCTGGCTGGTTTGCCCTGAAGGGTGTCCTGGATCAGGGTGGGGGTCCCCACTGGGGTGCCTGGCCAGTCTGGGTGAGGGGCTGAGGGCTGTTTTCAGGCTAGCGGGTGACGGAAGCTCCCAACCGCTCCTTTTTTTCTTTTTTTTCTGGGCCAGCTTTAGCTCTGAGGCTCCACCTCTTTTTTTTTTTTTAATATATTTTATTGATTTTTTACAGAGAGGAAGGGAGAGAGATAGAGAGTTAGAAACATCGATGAGAGAGAAACATCGATCAGCTGCCTCCTGCGCATCTCCCACTGGGGATGTGCCCGCAACCAAGGTACATGCCCTTGACCGGAATCTAACCTGGGACCTTTCAGTCCACAGGCCGACGCTCTATCCACTGAGCCAAACCGGTTTCGGCGAGGCTCCAGCTCTTAGGCCTCCGCTCCTGAAAGCAGGTATCTGGTTTGTTTGTGTTCTATAATCGAAACAATGTATAACTCCAGCTCTGAGATCCCGGCTAGCTGAAAGCAGGTTTCTGGGGTTTTGTTTAGCTTCTATATTTGTAACTATGTTTCAAACTGCAGGCTCAGAGGCCGGCAAGGCAGGCGGGGAACGTTGGTTTCCTCCATCACTGAAGCAAGCAAGTCTCATGTTAGTTTCAAGCTGCCTGGCTGCCGGCCGCCATCTTGGCTGGCAGTTAATTTGCATATCTTGCTGATTAGCCAATGGGAAGGCTAGCGGTTGTACGCCAATTACCGTGTTTCTCTTTTATTAGATAGGATAGCCATCCTGATAGGTGTGAGGTGATAGCTCATTATGTTTTTTATTTTATTTTAAATTTTATTGCAGTGACATTAGTCTACATGAACATATAGGTTGCATGTGTGGATTACTAATTTACATAATCTGTATATAGAACCATGTGCCCACCATCCAAAGTCAAATCTTCTCCTGTCACCTCATATTAGTACCCCTTTCTTTCCCCACTCCCCTCCCTCTGGCAACCACCACACTGCTGTTTGTGTACATAAGTTTCAGTTTTATATTCCACATATGAGCTAAATCATATAGTTGTTAGCTTTCTCTGTTTGACTTATTTCACTTTGCATAATGTTCTCAAGGTACATCCATGTTGTTGTAAATGACGCTATTTCTTCCTTCCTTATGGCTGTGTAGTACTCCATTGTGTATATATATACCACATCTTCTTTATCCAGTCCTCTGTCGTAGGGCACTTTGGCTGTTTCCAACTCTTGGCCACCGTGAATAATGCTGCAGTGAACATAGGGGTGCATATGTCTTTGCATATAAATGATTCTAGTTTTTCGGGTATAACCGAGGAGTGGAATTGTTGGGTCGTATGGTAGCTCTATTTTTAATTTTTTGAGGAATCGCCAGACTGCTTTACATAGTGGTTGTACCAGTCTCCATTCCCACCAGCAGTCACTGAGGGTTCCCTTTTTTCCACAACCACTCCGACACTTGTTGTTGCTTGTCTTGTTGATAAAGACTACTCTAACTGGTGTAAGGTGGTATCTCATTGTAGTTTTAATTTGCATTTGCCTGATTGCCAGTGAGGTTGAACATCTTTTAATATATCTATTGGCTGTTTGTCTTCTTGGGAGAGGTGTATTTTCTGGTCCTCTGCCCACTTTTTGATTGGATAGTTTGGTGTTGAGTTTTATGAGTTCTTTTTATATTTTGGAAATTAAACCTTTGTCAGAGTTACTGTTTGCAAATATCTCCCATCTGGTTGGCTGCCTGTTTGTTTTGTTGTCCGTTTCTTTTGCTGTGCAGAAGCTCTTCAGTTTGATATAGTCCCATTCATTTATTTTTGCCTTTACCTCCCTTGCCTTTGGGGTCAAGTCCATAAAATGTTCTCCACGTAGGTCCATAAGTTTGGTACCTATATTTTTTTCTATGTGACTTATAGTCTGGGGTCTTATGTCTAAGTCTTTGATCCATTTTGAATTAATTTTTGTACATGGGGATAAAATGCAATCCAGTTTCATTCGTTTGCATTTCTGTGATGATTAGTGATGTTGAGCATCTTTTCATGTCTATTGGCCATCTGTATGTTCTCTTTTGGAAAAGTGTCTATTCAGCTCCTTTGCCCATTTTTTTTTAATTGGGATTGTTTGTTTTTTTGGTGTTGAGTTCTTTATAAATTTTGGATATTAAATCCTGTATCAGATGTGTCATTGATGAATATGTTCACTCACAGAACCATTCTTTATATATTATTCTGCAATTTAATATGTTTCTGTTTTTAGAGGTGTTGTTTACTGTTGTTTCTGAGATTTATCTGAGTTTCTGGAGGTGTAGTGATTTTTAACATGGTGAAGAAGGACTTTGCCATAGAGGCTCCTTGTGCAAGCGTGTAGAAGTTTTCATACTGTAAATACCTAGGAGTAGAATTGATGGATCTAATGCGTAGATGTGGCATTTTCAAATTCATCAGGTTTTTACCAAATTGTTTGCCATAATAGTTTTATCAATGATACTTTTAACAGCAGAGTGTGAGTTTTTTCAGCTCCATATTCTCTAACAGTTGGTTTTATCAGACGTTTTACTTGTTAACCTGATGGCAGTAATGTCTCTTAATAGTTCTCAAATTACTATTTGAAATATTGAGCAGTTTTGAAACAGTATTTATTGGTCATTTAAGTATTATTCTATGAATTGCCTGCCCATTTTTTAGTGCTGTATTTATACCGTGGAGGCCCTCTTCACCTTGCTTGTATTCTTAACTCCCCATGCATTCACCTATCCCTTAACCACCCAGCTCTTCATGTAGACATCTTCCTTCCTTACCCCTTTACACTCCAGTGTCACACACTGGTCCATCACCACCTGTGCCCGTTCTTTTCACTCCATTCAGTCTCTGATTCTTCATGCTGAGCCATCCCCCTGTGAGGACACACATGCCCACCCCCTTGGCCCCTTGACACCTCCTGTGGATTGCCAACTTCTGTTGATGTTCACTTTGTCCTGTTTGGGTTCTGATACCCCCCAAACTGAACTGCCCCCTTGTGGGATTGTCTTTCTCCTCTTACCTGGGCTCTGAAATCCAAGATGGGGGTAGGCTTTCAGTACTCTACCCTCCTTAGTCTCCTGCTGACATTCTGCTATGGGACTTTTTGATTTTTGACTTTCAATCATCACTGAGGTGGATGCCCACCTGCTCTGCAAAACTCATTTGCTTTAGTTCTGACTTGACCAGGATGGTCAAGTGTTTGACACTCAAAAATGTTATTACAGTTTTATTAAATAAGAAAAATACAGATACAACAGAAACAAATGAGTATATATGAAGGACAAATATTATATTGCTGTTGTGAAAGATAACAAGAATTTGAGGTGTGAAAAGATTTACCTAGGAACTAGAAATAAAACCAAGAATTAAAAAAACTTATGTTATATAGTAACTAGAGGCCTGATGCACGAAATTCGTGCATGGGTAGGGTCCCTAGGCCTGGCGATCAGGGCCCCCCCAAGCACCCCACTGGCACCAGCCTTGACTGGCCCCACCCCCCACCGCCACTGCTGGTCGCCTCCCTTTGGAAGTTAGTCCCCAGATCTACCTGCATCAGAGTCATCTAGAGTGCTTGTTTAAGTGCAGATTCTTAATGCCCTTTTTTCCTGAAACTATTTGCTGTTTTCTATACATATTTCACTTTGCTTATTTTGTTCTTTTACCAGACTGCTCTCTATTCTATCATCATCACTTTTGAAATCATTGCTGTTAATTAGAGCTATCTGATAATTAGGTGCAGATAGAGCAGTTTTAGTGTAGTGGTTAGGAACATAGGCTGTAGATACATACTATCTATGTTGGAATCTCATCTTTACCATTTTTCCAAGATTAAAAGCTAGTTAAAAATATTTCTGTGCCTCAGTGTCTCAGTGAATGAAATAGGGATAACAATTTATCTCATAGGGCTGTTATGTGTATTAAATGTATTAATATTTGTTAATTCCTTACAATAGTGCTTATACATGGAAAGCACTCAGACATTAGCTGCTGTTGTGACTTTTCCTCTTTTTCATCTCTTAACAAAATTTTGTTCTATAGTAACTGGTATACTCATCTTACTTCTTTTTGTACAGACTATAAATTATTTGAGGATAAGGTCTACCTTATTAATTTTTATAGATTTTCAAAGGATTTTGCATAAGTGCTTGATAAATATTTACTGTATAAAATCATAAGAAAATGCCAAAATTGTCAGTATAATTGTTTTTCAGAGCCCATTTGCTTAGAATAAATTATAATCTAAAATATTAATATTAACTGTATTCTATTTCAGGAATTCTAATGAATCATTGCTTGACCAGCACCATTTTACCAGTTGAAATGAGCTATCAGAAATGGGAATAGATCCAACATGTAATAGATGGCTGTTATTCCATGGTGATCGCTTCTTCAAGCCAGTACCTTTTTGATTCCATAGGATCTTTGTCTCTTCATCTTTGAATTCTAATTACTATTGTTGGCAAATAAAATAAAAAGAGTTCATGTAGTTTTTGCCAAAGCTTGAGTCACCATGAGTAGTAGTTTAGGAAAAGAAAAGGACTCTAAAGAGAAAGATCCCAAAGTACCATCAGCCAAGGAAAGAGAAAAAGAGGCAAAAGCCTCTGGAGGTTTTGGGAAAGAGAGCAAAGAAAAAGAACCTAAGACCAAAGGGAAAGATGCCAAAGATGGAAAGAAGGACTCCAGTGCTGCCCAACCAGGGGTGGCTTTTTCAGTTGACAATACGATCAAACGGCCAAATCCAGCACCTGGGACTAGAAAAAAATCTAGCAATGCAGAGGTAATTAAAGAGCTCAACAAATGTCGGGAAGAGAACTCAATGCGTTTGGACTTATCCAAGAGATCTATACACATATTGCCATCATCAATCAAAGAGTTGACTCAATTAACAGAACTTTATTTATATAGCAACAAATTGCAGTCCCTCCCAGCAGAAGTGGGCTGTCTAGTAAATCTCATGACACTGGCTCTAAGTGAAAACTCACTTACCAGTTTGCCTGACTCTCTTGATAACTTGAAGAAGCTGCGGATGCTTGATTTACGGCATAATAAACTGCGAGAAATTCCTTCTGTGGTGTATAGGCTAGATTCTCTCACCACTCTTTACCTTCGCTTTAATCGTATAACTACTGTGGAAAAGGACATCAAAAACCTGTCAAAACTCAGCATGCTTAGCATTCGAGAGAACAAAATCAAACAACTACCTGCTGAAATTGGTAAGAGCTTTGGTTTACTATTATTGTTTGTAGCATTTATTATGCTAAATAATTTGAGTACTTTTCCATACCAGTAAATATTTGATACTTGCCTAACAGCATCTGGTTTCTAAATTCTATCTTATTTATGGTTTACTTTAATTATTTAAGTTTAGCAATATTAATAGTACATGGTTTGAGATATTGTATAGGCTCAAGAAAATGAATTTGAATATAGATGCAATTAGGCCTTTTCCCCACAAACCTAATCTGCTTTCATTTTCATTGAAGAAAAAGTGAATTCTAAGCAGAAAAAAAATGTTTGCCTGATTTTTAAGTTGTTGCCCCCTGTTTTTAAAGTATTTATATATGTAATTTTATTAGATCCATTAAGGCTACGTACTCCCATTTCCTGACTTTCCCTTCTTTACCTGAAAAATGTTTGTTTAAATTCACATCCCTTTTCTACCTAAGTTACTACAAAAAATTGGCATATCAGGACAGTGTCAGATGAAAATTGAAGAATTTTAAAAGTACTCACATGTTCATTAAAAACAATCCAAGATACAGAAAAGTAGCAGAAAAGTCACATACTAAATAAAACACTGTTAGCAACTTGGTAGATTTCATTCCAGTTTTTGTATATAAAGCTAAATTTTACTGAAACAAATGTTATTAAAGGAATGGTAGTAGAATAAAAATAGGAAATATACATGTGTAAAAAAGTCATTAAAAAGAAATTTATTGCTTTGATATTCTTAATTATGGAAAAAAATTTAGAAACATTTGGAATATAGTAAACCTTTGACTTATCAATTTTGGGAAATTGATAAAGGTATTGTCTTTGTGGGCCCTTTTTATAAATTTTAAAAAATTGACATAATTGATTAAGCAACTTTTAAAGGAAAGCTTTCTTTTGTATGAAAGTCCAATTCTTAATAAAAAGGTTGGATTAAATATTTTGTTGCATTGATCTTATAGTGGGTGATAAAGGAAATTTCCTCTTCTTAGGCTCTGCAGCTTTGTAGAAATGTAATATTCTGTATTTTAAAAATTTTATCTAGTTTTGAAGAAGATGCAGTGTAAATTTTAGTTATGGTTTCACTACATTTGACTCTAACCAGATACTTAAAATCGTAACTTAATTTTGGTTTAATTAAATGTACTTAGAAAAATCCATGATAGATTTTTCTGAAGCAGTAGTTACAAAATGTGGCTCACTTATGAGATATTAAAGTATTCCCAGGAATTTGAATGGAAACATTCCTTTCCATGTGTTCAGATGAGGATGTAGCTGCTGAACGACTTCTGATTTTATACCAGATTCAGTCAAAATTTTACCTGGATATATGGCTCATGGTGGAATAGAAATTACAGGCTTTTGGAGAAAGAAATGCTTACTTTTTATATGGGAAAAAATGTTATTTCTTATCTTTGCTCTTGTTGCTTTGCATATGTTTCATTCTCCATTCTAAAACTTTGGCTTTAATTCATATGAAGTCTCTCTTTAAGGATTTTTTTTTTCCAATAGAGAACTTATCATATTACCTAGGAATTAAGAACACATTTTAAAAAACAATTGTTTTGATTTATTTTAGAGTGAGAGAAAGGGAGAGAGAGAGATAGAAACATCAATGTGTGAGAGGAATCAGTGGGCTGCCTCCTGCACACCTCCTACAAGGGATTAAGCCTGAAATCGGAGCATGTGCCCTGATCAGGAATCAAACCAGTGATCTCTTGGTGCATGGGTTGATGCTCAATCTACTGAGCCACACCAGCCGATCAAGAACACATTTCTTAAGCAAGGGATTATTTCATGGGATTTTAAATTTACTTCAGTTGTTCTTGAACATATAAGTATTTAAACATTTTTACTAAAAAGTGAATGTAGTTTTTTAAATTGGAAATTTTTCTTTAATTAAATGGTTGATATTTGTGCCTGTCTAATTTTTTACTTTCATTTCTAAATCTGTAATTTAAAGAATAAGCACAGAATTTATTTTTTAATGAGCATCCTCCCACCATTAGTGACATTATTAAAGTTGATGCTGTAATTTCTGTAAAACTAACTTCATAAATGTTATTTTATTTCAAGAAGGGCATCAGGTAGAAAGTAAACTGCTTTTAAATACAAAACTTAATATTTATTATGAGGAATTAAGACATATAAGATTTAACTTAGATGCATGAATTTGGGGCTGTACACTGTTCTGTACATGAGTACTTCACATACATTATCTCATTAAATTGTATAACCCAAGGAAATAGGTATCTCTCCTCCTATTGCACTGAAGAAGGAACTGAAAATGTAGAGATTTAGATAATTTACTCGATATCATGCAGCTAGGAAGTTTAGAATACGAACCTAGATCTTACACTACTGCCCCCTCTGGTCTAGAAAAGTGGGTCCCACTCCCATAGATTATGATTTAGTGGTCTGGCAGGTCCAGGGCATCTGTACTTTTAAAGAATAAGCTGCGTTATTCTATGTGTAGCTGCAATTGAAAGCCATTGCATTAGATTTTTTATTTTTTTGAAGTGGGGAGGATAGCAGCTTAAGATGTAAATCATATACCATACAATTCACAGATTTAAAGTATATAATTCATTGTTTTTTAGCATGTTCACAGAACTGTGCAACCATCACAAACAATTTTTAGAACATTTTCATCACACCAAAAAGAAACTGTACCCTTTATCAGTCACCACTTCTATTTTCTCCCAACCCCTTAGCCCTAAGGCAAACACTGATCTACTTTCTGTTTCTATAGATTTTCCTCTTCTGTACATTTCATATAAATGGAATCATACAAAATATGGTCTTGATGATTGGCTTCTTTCACTTAGCATCATGTTTTCTGCATTCATCCATGTTATAGCGTATATTAGTTCTTCATTTCCTTTTATTGCTGAATATATTCCATAGCATGAATATACCACATTTTATTTACCCATTCAGTTATGTTGAACATTTGGGTTATTTCTACTTTCTAGATATTATGAATACAATTACTATGAACATTTTTGTATAAGTTTGTGTTTGGACATTTGTTTTCATTTTTCTTACATATGTACTTAGAAGTGGAATTACTGAGTCATATGGTAATTTTATGTTTAATATTTTGAGGAACTACTAGACTGTTTTCCTAAGTGACTGCACCATTTTACATTACCAAGAGCAATGTCTGAGGGTTCCAATTTCTCTACATTTTCAATATTCTTGTTATTTTCTTTTTTATTATGGCCATTCCATTTATTATAAAGGAAAGAAGTAGTTATTTTCAGTGATGCAGACCATCCTTTACTATATGCTAAATAAAATCAGCTCTTTTAAGAATGTTTGCAAAATAAGGCTCAGGCACAAAGATGAAGTAAAATGAAAATTTTACATTTTTAAAAGTGTTACACTCCTTTCATATAATTTGCTAAAACCCATTAGAGAATTTAGACTCCAGAATTTATGCAAATTATCATTTTGTTAAACTCCCATTTATAAGTACTAAATTAACATTGATACATATTAGATTTATAGTATGCATATTAATGACTTTTTATTCTCTTGTTTTATAAGTATACCATTTTCAATTATGCCATCCAGTTTGTGTTTGGCAGTATATTTGAGGAATGTGAGGAATTAGAAGTTTTAGAAATATAGCGACTATTTAGTCTAAATCATATATTTGAAACTTAACCATTATTCAAGGTTGTTCTTATAGGGAAATTATATTAAAACTAGAGGCCCGGTGCACGAATTCGTGTACTGGTGAAGTCTCTCGGCCTGGCCTGTGGAGATCAGGCCAAAATCAGCTCTCCAACATCCCCTGAGGGGATCCAGATTGCGAGAGGGCACAGGCCAGGCCGAGGGACCCCACCGGCGCATGATCGGGGCTGGGGAGGGACTGTGGAAGGGCTCCAGGGCGTGTCCGGCCCATCTCGCCCAGTCCTGATCAGCTGGACCCCAGCAGCAAGCTAACCTACTGGTCGGAGCGTCCACCCCCTGGCGGTCAGTGCGCTTCATAGTGACTGGTCGAACAGTCGAATGGATGGTTGGACACTTAGCTTATTAGGCTTTTATTATATAGGATCAGAATATTTATCTAAGTATTAATGACATCTTTATTAATGACCCGTGATTTGATACCAGGGATTAATATTTACATGGGTGAACATTGGCAGAAAACAGTAAAAGGATACTGAACAGAGAGTACATGTAAGCATATGAAGAGCAGAGGTAAATATATCAGAGAGTAGCCAAGAAAACTCATTTGGTAATGTTCATTTACTTTTCTTCTTTTGTATAAGGTATGTCTTTTTGTGTTAAATAGATAGATGGAAACCTTCATTATTGCTTTTTTTTGTAGATGAGTATTCCATTCTTCCTGTTCAATACCTCCTTTTACCATTTGCTACTTTGAAAGAGGCTTCATGTACACCAAGAGAGTCAAGAAATCCTGTTTTCACAGGGAAAACAGTATATCACCATTCCCTGCTGCCTGCCCCCGCCTCGACTGGTTCCTTTGAGTTTCATGGTAGATGATTTTGTAAAAAAAAAAAAAAAAAAAAAAAGAAAGAAAATTTTTTTTTGGCCTGGATGGATTACAATGAGGGCCATCAGGTAGTCAGTTTGAATAATTCATTGATTTAATTCAAGAAATTCTGGACAAGGAAGTTTGATAGAATTTTATTCTTCTAGGAAGGAAATGGTTACTTTTTGAAACCAGAAATAAACCCCATCTTTGTCTCTTACTAATATTACTACAATTTATTTCCTTCATTGAATTATGGCCTAGTTTAAGATTTCTCCTCTTATTAAAGTTTCCCCCTAATATATTATTCTTTATAAGATAGGAGAATGATCTGATATGTTAAAGCATATGCTTTTTGAGAACCCAGATATTGTCATTCATTTAAAAAACAATTCACAGCATTCAGATATATGAGAAAGTAGAATAAGCAATTTTTTGTACACATTTGACTCAGTAACATTTATTGAAATAAAAATCAATTTTCTATTGTACTGCAGTGTTACATTTTATAAGTCAAGTTAGATATACAATTAATATATAATAAATGCATATATAATCTATCTATACAAAAATGCAAAAACAGAATGAGCAATTTTTTTAAAAGTTGAAGGATCACAGATTTTAATTCCCAATTATGTAATTTTCTATGAACTATTCTAGACAATAAATGTTAAATTTTTAATAAATGTGGCTTGAAGTGAATATAATGAAACCTAGTATTATTAGTTATTCTTCAGTATTAACTCAAATTGTAACCCTTAGTCCCTAAAATTTTTAAAATTTTCCCAGGACTGCCAGGGGTTATACAGTTGCTTTCACGGTCCAGGTAACATTATTTAATTATTTCATTTGAGTATTTTGTACAAGTGTTAATGACTAACTTAGTTTGGCAAGAAAAATAAAACAGGAAAGGGAATTCAGAGTTGTTAATAAATAACTCCTTTTGACCAGGATTCAGTATGAAACCTTAGAGACTTAGAAATGAACTGTTGACTTAGTTTATTGTTATCAAATTGTCAGATATTTCACTGAACAACAACAAACCTGGAGAAGTTATTGGTAATGGAGGCAGGAGAAGAACAGGGAAAATAGCACTTGTGCTGAGGAAGGATTTGATAGGATATCATTGACTTTTGGTACTGCTGATGTGACAGCACACTACACATTGAAAGCAGTGTGTAGACACTGTTACCCATGTTGCTAAGTTGTAGAAGAAGTTAACTGAAAGAATAAGTCATTTTCTTCTTTTTTAGGTATATTTGAGATACAGCACATTAGTTTCAGGTCAACAATATAATGATTCAGTGTTTGTAAGATGCCATTTTCAAGTAACAGTTTAGATTTTGTGTTTGACATTTTAATTATGATAATAGAAAATGAAATTTTCCTTTCAATATTATTTAATATATTTAATAATTCTTATTAAATTTTTATGTTGGTCAATTTACAGGTGAATTATGTAACCTCATTACGCTGGATGTAGCTCACAATCAACTTGAACATCTTCCAAAGGAGATTGGAAACTGCACACAGATAACCAACCTTGACTTGCAGCACAATGAACTGCTAGACCTCCCAGATACTATAGGTATGGTATGAGAGGTGAAAGAAGATATTGATAATTATTTATAGCTACTTGAACATTAAAATACTATTTTTTTAAAGATATATTTTATTGATTTTTTACAGAGAGGAAGGGAGAGGTATAGAGAGTTAGAAACATTGATGAGAGAGAAACATCGATCAGCTGCCTCCTGCACACCTCCTACTGGGGATGTGCCCGCAACCAAGGTTCATGCCCTTGACTGGAATCGAACCTGGGAACCTTCAGTCCACAGGCCAATGCTATATCCACTGAGCCAAACCAGTCAGGGCTAAAATACTATTTTTGTTAACAAATATTAAAAGATTAGAATGTAACATTGTCAAAGTAGTAAAAGCTTCTAAAAGATAGTATTTTAAAATCACTATTTCCATTTCCTGGCAGAGAATAATTATATTTTTGAGCTCAACTGGACTATAAAGACTATTAAAGCATATGTATATATTCTATAGCTCTGTGCTTAAATTGCAGAATGGGTGCATTTTCTGTTTTTGCTGATTTCAGAATGTTGCACTGTATTGTATAGAGTATGGTCCTTTTTTTTTTTTTTTACTAAAGTAGACCATATAGAAAAAAAAAAAGCCATTGCTATTTAGTTTTTAAAACATGGGCAGTATAGTTTAAACCAGTGGTTTTCAACCTGGGGGTCGCAACCCCTTTGGGGGTTGAACGACCCTTTCACAGGGGTCGCCTAAGACCATCGGAAAACACATATATAGTTACATATTGTTTTTGTGATTAATCACTATGCTTTAATTATGTTCAATTTGTAACAATGAAATTGGGGGTCACCACAACATGAGGAACTGTCTTAAAGGGTCACGGCATTAGGAAGGTTGAGAACCACTGGTTTAAAGTGTATTCATCTGTAATATTGAGGGACATAAGGAAAAGTTTAATACTTTATTTTTTTTATATTCTTTGATAGTTGTCAGCAAATAGAGTATACGAGTAGCTCTTATTCCAAGAAAAATGGCAAAATGAATAAGTAATCCTATCTAATAAAAGAGAAACATGGTAATTGGCATACGACCGCTACCCTTCCCATTGGCTAATCAGGGCAATATGCAAATTAACTGCCAGCCAAGATGGCGGCCGGCAGCCAGGCAGCTTGAAACTAACATGAGGCTTGCTTGCTTCAGTGACGGAGGACTCCAGTGTTCCCCGCCTGCTGCTGAAGGCCTCTGAGCTGCAACTCTAAGCAACTATGTAACAAATATAGAAGCTAAACAAAACCCCAGAAACCTGCTTTAGTCCTTCGGGCTTCAGCCAGCAGGATCGCAACATTGTAAGCAAAGGCCAGAAATCTACTTTCAGCAGCGGAAGCCTAAGAGCTGGAGCCAAGCCTCAAAGCTAAAGCTGGCCCAGAATAAAAAAAAAGAAAAAGAAAAAAGAAAAAAAGGAGCGGTTGGGAGCTTCAGTCACCCCCAGCCTGAAAACAGCCCTCAGCCCCTCACCCAGACTGGCCAGGCACCCCAGTGGGGACCCGCACCCTGAAGGATGTGTGACTAGCTGCAAACAGCCATCATCCCCTCACCCAGGCTGGCCAGGCACCCCAGTGGGGACCCCCACCCTGATCCAGGACACCCTTCAGGGCAAACCAGCCGGCACCCACCCGTGCACCAGGCCTCTACCCTATATAGTAAAAGGGTTATATGCCTCCCAGCACTGGGATCAGCGGAGCCGTGAGGCCTCCCGGCACCGGGATCAGCGTGACGGGGCAGCGCCCAAACCCCCTGATCGCCCTGTGGCTCTGTGTGTGACGGGGCGGGGCCACAACCTCCCTATCGGCCCTGCTCTGTGTGTGACGGGGTAGAGCCATAACCTCCCCATCGGCCCTGCCCTGAGTGTGAGAGTGGCGGCTCCCCAACCCCCTGAACAGCCCTGCTCTGTGCCTGATGGGGGGAGCTCCCCAACCCCCTGATCACCCTGCGGCTCTGTGTGTGACAGGGTGCGGCGCCCCAACCCCCACCCCCCCACAGGCCCTGCTCTGTGTGTGACGGGGTAGAGCCATAACCTCTCCATCGGCCCTGCCCCGAGTGTGAGAGTGGCGGCTCCCCACCCCCCTGATCGGCCCTGCTCTGTGGGTGATAGAGGGCGGCGCCCCACCCCCCTGATCGGCCCTGCTCTGTGAGTGACGGGGCAGTGTCCCAACCCCCTGATTGGCCCTGCTCTGTGCGTGACAGGGAGTGGTTCCGCAACCTCCCCATCGACTCTGCCTTGAGTGTGACAGGGGACGGTGCCCCAACCCCCCAATCGGCCCTGAGCGTGACTGAGGGTGGCATCACAACCTCCCGATCGCCCTGCTCTGTGCATGACGGGGCAGCGCCCCAACTCCCCAATCGGCCCTGCTCTGAGTCTGACCAGGGGCTGCACCTAGGGATTGGGCCTGCCCTCTGCCACCCGGGAGCAGGCCTAAGCCAGCAGGTCGCTATCTCCTGAGGGGTCCCAGACTGCGAGAGGGCACAGGGCGGGCTGAGGGACCCCCCTCCCCCCCCGAGGGCACAAATTTTTGTGCACCGGGCCTCTAGTGTTTATTATAGTTTTTCATATTGTCATTTATCATATACCATGCTTACTAAAGTAATTCTTTTGCCTCCCTCCATCCCTCTCATCCCCACTACTTTATATAGCAGAAGGTTGAGATTTGGTGAGAAATTAGAACATTTGGGTTTTGATCTGTTACAAAACTCAGCAGTCCTAATTGACCTTTGAGATTCTTCCTCAAATTTATTGGAGAAGCCTGATTCACCTAAAACAGATAGTGGCAAACTAATTAGAATATAGTTTTCCTGATACTTTTCGTCTTTTTTCTAGTCTGCTTTTTTTTTTTTTTTTTTGGAACAAACTTTTTCACTGTTAATTTTATTTATTTTTTTAGATACAAAATAATTTGCCATTTACATGCAATAAGCATTAATATTTCAAGAAAAATGATTTTAAATACAATAATATTACATGCAATAAACATTAAAACTTCAAGAAAAAAAGATTTTAAAAGATTTTAAATATAATAATATTACCAAAACTGTATTAACATAGTATAATATCACAAAAGTTGTAGGAAATATTAAAAATCTGCAGCCCTAGCCACTTTGGCTCAGTGGATAGAGCATCGGCCTGTGAACTGAAAAGTCCCCAGGTTCGATTCCAGTCAAGGGCACATACCCAAGTTGTGGGTTCAATCCCCAGTGGGGGACTTGCAGGAGGCAGCCGACCCATGATTCTCTCTCATCATGGATGTTTCTATCTCTCCCTTTTCCTTCCTCTCTGAAATCAATAAAAATATATTAAAATAAAATAAAAACCTGCAAATAACAGGATTCTATTCTAAAATATTTTTTTTCCTCTGGCTCTATTTTTGTTCATCAGTTTACATTGTTTATTCCACAAATGAGTGAGACCATGTGATATTTATCTTTCTCCGACCTGCTTATTTCCTCTAGTCTGCTTGAAAAGTATAACTTAAAATGAAAAACAAACAAAAAAACCAACACCTATTCTGGAGGGTCAATGCTGGTCGGGTAGCAGCTGCCCTACTGTCCTTTCCCTGGACTAAAGAAATTAGCCCTAAACTCACAGTTGGAAATCAAGTCTTCTAACTACCACCTTAAAATTACTTTTCCAAAATTCACTTTATGTCCTCACCTTTTCTTTTTTAAAAAACATAAGATGTTTTGCCTCTTTAACATGAACATTTGTTTTTTTATCCTCACTTGAGGATATTTTTCCATTGATTTGTAGAAAGAGTGGAAGGGAGGGGAAGAGACAGAAACATTTATGTGAGAGAGACACATTGATTGACTGCCTCCCACATGAGTCCCGGCCAAGGCCAGGGATCAAGCCTACAACCAAGGTATTTGCCCTTGACCAGAATCCAAGGGACCCCTCAATCTGCAGGCCAGTGCTCTATCCACTGAGCAAAACTGCTGGCTAGGGCTAGCATGAATACTCTTAAGAGTAGTCATCACTCCTTGATAGTAATCACTGCCATTTATTCCAGGCTGAGCAGTGCCAGGACCACTGACAGCTCATAGTGTGTGAAGAAGAGCAGAGGAAATGAGGGGGCAATTCATTGCTATTAAGTCAGAGAGTACTTAAAAACAGATTATAGTTTCTCTGATTTAATCATTAGTTTACCCTATTGAATAAAAAGTATATTCTCTTTCATGTAAATACTAGAGGCCCGGTGCACGTATTCATGCACCAGTGGGATCCCTCGGCCTGGCTTGCAAGATCTGACCAAAACTGGCTCTCTGACATCCCCCATGGGGTCCTACATTTCGATAGGGCACAGGCCAGGCCATGGGACCCCACCAGTGCACGATCAGGGCTGGGGAGGGACCGTGAGAGGGCTCCAGGGCATGTCCGGCCTGTCTCACTCAGTCCGGATCAGCTGAACCCCAGCAGCAAGCTAACCTACCAGTCCGAGCATCTGCCCCCTGGTGGTTGGTGCACGTCATAGTGAGCAGTTGAGCAGCCTTAGCATATCATTAGCATATTACACTTTGATTGGTTGAATGGACGACCAGACACATAGCATATTAGGCTTTTTTTTATATAAGATTTTCTTATTCAAGAATCAGTTATGAACTAAAGAAAATATTATACTTCATTATAATAGTCATTTCGTTTCAAACTATGAACCTGATCATCTTAAAGCCTTCTGAGATCTCTGGTGGTTTTATGAAATTGGGGTTGGGAAAGGGTTGTATCTGAAGTAGGAAAATATATTTAACTTTCTATTTCTTCTCAAAATGAGATAGAAATATGCAACAAGACCTTGCCTTCAAGGCCGGAGCACAGAACAATTCACAGAGGTCTTTTTGTTGCACCGGGCTCTGAAGAAATATTACAGTAATTATGGTTTTATCAACAAGTAGAGTTTTAGTAGTTAGGTTTTAGATAATTACAGTGCAGTTTGCATATAACAACTTTATTAGTTTTCTTTTTAATAATGGCATTCTTTTGGGTTTTTGGCATTTAAGAAATTTTGTATTGCTTGCTTTTCAGTATGCTTTCAGATTAATGTTGAAAAAAAATTGTATCTTTGATATTATTTTATTGTTAGAGTTGTGTCTTTTCCACTGATATTTTGCTACTTTGTTAAAATAAGATTAAGGCTATTTAAGTTAGAGTCTTACTCAAAGATTATACTGATTTAGCCTAAAGATGCTGATTATATTTGCTGGAATTGAAAGCATTTAATTTGAATTCATAGCCATTTGATGTTGCCATATTTTAAAATCTGACAGCATAAGAAAGCCAGCTGTCAAAGTAGAGCACAAGAACAACTTACTGTCAGAGTTAAGCACCTAAAAGCTAAATGCCAGTGATTGGAAGAGATCAGCCTACATTTATACACAGAATCTCAGCAACATTGACTTAGTCGCAATGGCTCAGCACTAAAGCAAGCTATGGCTTGATTTCTAGGTTGCAGTTTAGTTTGTGGTTTACCGCTCATTGAAAGAGGTTAGAGGTTGAAACCACTGTAGGGGGTGAATCACACAGTAAGTGCCAGACTTTTGATGTCAGTTTTTTTCTGGTATAAGAGAGTTTTGATATTTCATCCTTAATTTTTTTTCACCTCTTTTGTTTTTCTGAGAGTAGTAGATTTTGGCAAAATGTGGATGACTCTTTGAACATGCCATGTTCTTAAGAAAGTGGTAACACCTTTGCAGATGTGAATTTCTTCATCAGAATAGCATATTCTCATACATCACATTTTTAAAAGTTCAGGTTCTTCTACCATACACACACAGTGAAAAAGACAATGTTTAGGAATATTGAAGGTACTATTTTTGTTTAACCATGATTTTTGGTATTATGTAATGTTATATGGCAATTTCACCATCATTTTCATTTTGTAATTTTTAAATTCTAGAAACCTATTCTGATTTTGAAAGTGAGAAACTTAAGTTATTTTGCCTTTGGAAGAGAAGTTTTAGGAATCTGGTTCTGTTTACTGGGCTTTTGAGTTGATAAGCAATTTACTTTTAGGTTTTATTGAAAAATTTAAAAAAATGGTTAAAATGTTGTATTTGTCTACTATTTTACTATAAACAGTGATTGAATGAGACATATCAGTTCATGGAAGAAAACTGGGGGGGCTTTTTACTATCAGTAAGCCTTTCCTTATCTGACAGATTTCAAAGACCCCTTAATGAATGCTCTAGCCATCTTTAATAATAAAAGCATAATATGGTAATTAGACTGGATAACCAAACGACCTTCCGGACAAAGCCAGGTCTGTGAGGTGCCAGAGGGAAACTGGTGCTGGCAGCTGGGGGAAGGAAGGCCTACTCTTGCACGAATTTCATGCATGGAGCCGCTCGTTATAGTGGAACAGCTTTCTTTCATAGGGAAAGCAGTGGTATAAGGGGGAGAAGGGATTGGCCTTATTTATTCCAGTTTTTTTTTTTTTTTTTTTTTTTTTAAGGTTTACTGCCTCTTTAATCTTCAACTTCATACAGCAAATTAAAATTTGAGATTTTGAAGTTATTCATAGTCAGGCATTATCACTGCTACCAGGAAATTTCCTACCTTTACCAGGCTTGCTATAGCTATAGTGGCCATGGGCATTACATAGGCTTGTTTTTATTTCTCCCTCCAGACACATCTCAGCAATGTCATCAGAAAGGCACTAGTGAAGCATCCGTAGTTAATTTAGAAAGCATTTTAAAGACAAAATTAAGTTGTCTTTGCTAAGTGGTAGTTTTTACTATTGCTTTTGTATTCAGTTTTCTGCTTATTGGAATCTTAATTAAACAGAACCAATGAACTCTTTTTAAAAAAATATGTTTTTATTGATTTTGGAGAGAGAGAAAGGGAGAGGGAAAGATAGAAATATTGATGTGTGAGAGGAACATCGATTGGCTGCCTCCTGCACACATCCCACTGGGGATGGAGCCTACAGCCCTGTCATGTGCCCTGACCGGGAATCAAACCGGTGACCTCTTGGTGCTTGGGTCAATGCTCATTCTAATGAGCCACACCGGCTGGGCAGAACTAGTGAACTCTTGACCCAGTTTCTAAACACCATAGTAAGAAAGTAATATAAATGAGCATAGCATATTTCTGGAATAGTTCAAATTGTGGGAACTGAAGTGGTTTCTATTAAAAAAAAACTTAGCAAATTTTGCATTATATTTGTCTAAACTTGTGGCATAGAATTATCAGAGTATTTTCATTGTAAATGACTTTGACAATGAGCTATTTTGTCATTTCTTATAACTTCAGTCACATTTCTTCAGCAAGAGGGGAAGATGCAAATGAGTGATATCTAGATGAGGGTTATAAGGCTCCCTCCTAGGGTTTCAAGGCTAAACATATGCTACAGACTAATAAATCCTCTGTAGGTATTGCAGTAAAGTTGCATCTAAGAGAGAACGTTATTCATGCAACTTTTTCAAAAAAAGATGAAAAAGAGATAGACAAACATCAGAAGATTGCTGAAAGTTGGAAGGCATCCAAACATTTGTCTCCCAAAAAGTTGTGTCACACAAGACAACTACTTCTGTTATTCTGTTATTCCTAATGATGGTAATACTGTTTAATTTAAAATCAGAACCTCTATTTGATGTTCAAACCCTGGCAGTTTAAAAATGTTATAGCAACCGTTAATAATTTGAAGTTAGGAAAGAAATTAACCAGTCATGTTAAAGAAACACTAAATTCTCATCACTGTTTTTTGTTTGTTTTATAAAAATGTACATATTTTCTAGTGTATATTGTTTGGGAAATTAAGTTTGATTTAAACCTTTTATGATAGCAGATGTCATATTCATTCATGTAGCTTACCTGTAGCTTGCCATATACTAGTATGTAGTCTTGGCAATAGAACTAGAAAATGCCTGTTTTCTGCTCTGCTTTTTTAAATGTATTCAATAGTGGCTGATTTGTGCTCAATCCTAGTGTATACTTAGATAATAGAGACTATAACTTTCACTTTGATTTGTAGTTTTTAAAAATAATATTTTTGAGGAATTTTTTACTATCAGGTCAACTTTTCAGAGAATTTTTAGAATGTTTATATTAAAACTCATGGAAAATATTGAACCTTTCTTATCTCAGAATAATTGTGCATTGTATATTTTAAATAATACCATTAGAAATTTGAAAGTTTTTTTCTTCAAAATTAAATGTTCATTTTTATATATAATCACTTGTTCCATGTTGGATCATCATCACATAGATACAAATGGGGTAACTATTATAAATTTCAAATGTACACTGCTTGATGTTATTCGACTAGGCCTTATCTAAAGGTTAATTTATTATTAAAGTATGCCAATATTTTCTAATAATTTATTTTTATAATTGACTTGTAGTGTATTTCATTATTTCTCTAAGACAAGTGGCTTCAACATCATCCTAATTGGTGAAGTGTAGTGTGTTGTTCCTTGGTACTTAAAGTTAAGGATCTTGCTGAAATAGTGCTTTACAGTAATTCATAAATATCTGGTTGATAGCCTAGGACAGTGAGAGGCTCATCGTATATTTTTTTAAGTTCTCTTTTTGTGTGTATTCATAGGAAACCTGTCCAGTTTAAGTCGTCTTGGTCTGAGATATAACAGACTGTCAGCAATACCCAGATCACTGGCAAAATGCAGTGCACTTGAAGAATTAAATTTAGAGAACAATAACATTTCTACTTTACCAGAGGTAAGTAGAAATAAGCCTGCAAGATAATAAAGGAGAAACTAGTAAGTTTTTATAGCTGTTTAAATAATTTGATGATTGAGATTGCCTAAAAAGGAGTATGCTGTGGATATATAGCCACCACTAAGATAATTCCAAAGAAGAAAGAATAGGTATGATTAAAGGAACATATTAAAAAAAATTTTTGATGTGCAGAAAGGAGAAACCAAAGTGGTAAGTTGGTGTGCTACATTCCCCTTTAGCACCTAATTCTTTTTCATGTCATTTGAAACTAGCAATAAAAGCTATAATAAAGGAAAAGTTGCATGGCTGGTTTTAAAACTCACTACCCCACCCAATTCAGTTATAAAAAAAAAAAAAGGTACTGAAGAAAGATGATAAATGAAAAGAATGAACTATATAGTATATACTATTTATTATCAAGATAATATTGGCAGCAACACACCTGTGACCCAAGTTATTACCCTGCTTATGCAATAATATTAAAGCCTATTTTGCATCTATCAGTCACCAAAATGTGTGTTTTTTTTAACATACTTGTTTTAATTTGGGTTTGGTTGGTTGTATTAGAAAAATATTTTCACTTATTTTACTCAGATTAATTGGGGAAGATACTTTAAAAATATTCTTTTCAACTTTATTATTTTTTTTACTCTTGCATTTCTTTCTTTTGCTACATACTATTTTAGCATACCCAACAACTGGTGTGTTTGCTTATGGTTATTCAGCATAAATGGTAGTATTCTAACATAAAGGAACGGCATTGTGGACTAACGGATTGAGTGAGCTTTTGCAAAGTCTTTTTTTCTTAACAATTAAAAATAATATAAGTGGCCCTATTATGTTTTGACTATTGCTAGTTTTTCTGTGGTGTTTGTGTATGTATATTTGAATTAAGAATAAAGATGCTTTGGATGAATGTTTTTCAGATTTATGCTTTGATTTTGAAAGAAGAGTTTGAGTAAATGAAGCTATACGTTTGTAGCAATTAGTTTATGTGATATATTCAATTTATTTGTTTCTTAAGGATACAGAAATAAAATAGCGCCTATTAATTTAGCTCCAATTAATCTGGGTATTTGGGATTTCAGAAAGTGTCTTGATCAGAGTACTGAAATGAGTTTCCCAAGATTGTAGTTTCTAGGCTGGACTGGTTCCTCACCTGTGGCAAATTATCATTGTTAGCAGCAGTTTAAGTGGGATAAGGATTAGACTACACAGATTGTAGATAGAGCGCTGACAACTAGACTGTCTGGATTTTTGTGTTTCTGTGATAGTGGTAATTTAAAATGATCATAATGGGTGAGGTTCTCCAATGTCATCATCCCCTTTTCTAAAAGTGATTCATATCCATAATAAGACAAATCATTGGCACATTAATTAGACCTTGTTGGGATGCTTTTAGGGTGTTATTTGTGATTTTAAGTAAGATTGACTGCTTTTACCACTTCACTGTGCCTAAATATAAAGACTGGGTATATATCAAATTACACAGTGAGAAATTTAAGAATTTATATATTTAGTCTTACTATCAGTGAAGGGAAACTAATAATTATTGGGTTCTTCTTAGGATACAGAGATTGTGAAAAGTACTTTCATAAATAATATTTTGTGAATGAAAAAAGCAATGATTTATTTTTGATAGAATTATAAAGAGGACAGCTCTCTTCTGTCTGGCTGTGGAAGTAGGGCTGGCTGGCTGTGTGTGTGTGTGTGTTTAAACTTGCCTATTTTCAGATGGAGAACTATGAGAGTTTTGATTGTCATTGTCCAAATATGGGAAAGCATTAAATCTTATTTAAATATAGTATATGTGCTTTGTAAGAGCATATTTCTAATGCAAATATCTAATTACTTGTGTGTATTATAAATACAATGAGGAAGACAAAATCTAGACATTCAAGCTGGGGTAGGCAAGAAAATCAGGAAAGTGGTTTCTCGTTGGGGCTTTCATATTGCTGAAATCAGAACTGACAAAATGATTATATACTTTGCCATTTGAAGACTGAAAATGGACTAGTTTTAATGTAGACATAGGAAAAGGAACTTAATCATGCTTAAGGAATAATGCTAGGAGCTCTATATGTATTAACCCATTCAAATCTCCATTATAATCCTAATTATTGGGATAGTCTTATAAAATAGGTGGGGAAATAAGACTTAAGAGAAGTTATGTGTCTGGACAAATTTGTTACATATTTTTTCTGGGAATACGGTGAGATATATATTTATTATTTAATTAATTCACCTAAGGTCACAAAACTGGTAAGTGATTATCTAAGATGGGAACTTAGATGTGTCAGACTCTAAAGCAATGATAACCCAAGAGCTTCACCATGTGATCTAAGAATGAAAGGTTTGAGAGCTGCCTTCTTGCTTCCCCTTTTCAAATATCCTCAGGTATGAACATTTTAAAATAGAAGAATGTCAATTCAGTAAAGTAATTAGCTTAATAAAAATAAAGTTTTTGCCATGAGACTCAAAACTTTATTTTCAATAAAGTATAATATAGGCATTTTTCCTGAATTGACTGCTATACAAAACTCTCTCACCACTCTTATCTGTACTCTTCCTTTTATCTGTGCACACCAGTAGACAAATGTTGAGTAGCTTCTTAACATTCACTATAAAGAACAAGTTTCAGTTCACCATATAATTATACCCTTAATTATATAGTTATTTCATTCCTTCAGCTGGCCATGCAAATAAACTCCCACCTCAAGTGCTGAGTCTTCAGTTTCCTCATGGTAGACAGCTAACATTTGAACATTATTTAAAGCACACATACACATGCACATTTCACACTGCTTGTTTTATCCCTGCTTGGGCTTTTATTTCAGTGTTTTCTTTTACTTCTCTAAATATTTAAATTATGTTTTCTTCCTTTAAAACTTATGCCACTCTCAGTCTCCTTACTGCTTTTCCAGTTTTTCCAGTATTTCTCATCTTTCAGCTTAGGTAGAGAAGGGACTTAAAATTTAAGTACTTACTACATGCTAGATATTGTAAAATTATGTATGTATTTTATTTCTTTAAAAAGTCTTTACTACAGCCTATAAAATAAGGCATCATCATTTGCAAATGATTAAAACTAAGGTTCAGAGAAATAACTTGCCCAAATCACAAGCTCCTAAAGCAGTGATGGCGAACCTTTTGAGCTTGGCGTGTCAGCATTTTGAAAAACCCTAACTTCACTCTGGTGCCATGTCACATATAGAAATTTTTTGATATTTGCAACCATAGTAAAACAAAGACTTATATTTGTGATATTTATTTTATATATTTAAATGCCATTTAACAAAAAAATCAACCAAAAAAATGAGTTCGCGTGTCACCTCTGACACACGTGTCATAGGTTCGCCATCACTATCCTAAAGGATAGAGTCAGGATTCAAAAGTGTTTTTTAGCCTATACTAGTGTTTCTCAGCATTAATGAGCATACAGATCACCTGAGAATCTTAGGATTCATATGATTCTGCAGGAGCAAACTATAGGACTCTGCATTTCTAACAAGCTCCCAGGGGATGCTGATTTGCTTTTCCTTGAACCAGCAAGAGCCTATCTGTCTATCTACACTAATAAAAGAGAAACATGCAAATTGGTGTCACTCTGCTATGCCCACCAACCAATCAGAGCGACTCTGCAAATTAACCCAACAAAGATGGCGGTTAATTTGCATACACAGGCTCGAAGCGAAGACTGAAGACTGAAGAGGCTTGGCTTCTCTGCTGCAGCCTTACTGTGGCTGGACCAAAGGCCTGGGTCCTGGGTGCCAGAGGAAAACCGGTGCCAGCAGCCAGGGGAAGGAAGGTCTATTGCACGAATCTTCATGCAACAGGCTTCTAGTGTATATATATATATATAAAAGCCTAATGCTAATTGTCCCTCCAACCATTCGACCGGTTGCTATGATGTGCACTGACCATCAGGGGGCAGACCCTCTGATCGGTAGGTTAGCTTGCTGCTTGGGTCTGGCCAGGGACTGGGGGCTGGACACACCCTGGAGCCCTCCTGCGGTCCCTCCCTGGCCCCGGTTGTGCACTGGTGGGGTCCCCCGGCCTGGCCTGCACCCTCTCGCAATCCAGGACCCCTTGGGGGATGTCAGTGAGCCAGTTTTGGCCCAGTCCTAGCAGGCCTGGCCGAGGGATCCCACCAATGCACAAATCCATGCACTAGGCCTCTAGTTCTATATGTGTTATTGATTATATATAGTTATGTATTATTTTCTTTTACCTGTGTGATTTATTTCTCTAAATAGGTTTTAGTCTTCTTAATAGCAGAAATTCTTTTGTAATACTTAAACATCTAGCACTGTGGTTACCTGGTAGAAGGCTGAAGGGGATAATGGGATTATGTGCTTAATAAATACTTACTTGATAGGTGCAAATTCCTTCAGAAATTTTACCATATGGAGAAGGAGTGTATTATATAATATTAGAAAGTGTAACCATCTTCTGAATTTAATATTCCTAAAAGGAACCATTAAATTACGAAATAACTGCTCAGTCTGTGCCAGGCATTATGTTAATCTTAATAATATAGAGATGGGTACTTCAGATTTCCTATAAGTAAATAAATTTGCTGTTTCTTGTAAAATCTGAAAACCTGACTATATTCGTTCCATATTTCTGCAAGGAACAATTAGCTAAAATTGAGTAGTGACTGTCACTCTCCACGAGGCATCACAAAACACACCAACTAGTCTCTGTCATTTCTTTCCTGTAAGACCTTTAAGTCTTTTTACAGTTCTAATTCTTATGTTTTATTTCATTTTTTTACAGAGCCTTTTGTCAAGTCTTGTGAAACTGAATAGTTTGACCTTAGCTAGAAATTGCTTCCAGTTATATCCAGTTGGTGGTCCATCTCAGTTTTCCACCATTTATTCCCTCAACATGGAACACAATCGGATCAATAAAATTCCATTTGGAATTTTCTCCAGAGCAAAAGTATTAAGTAAGCTGAATATGAAGGTAAGCTTCTGTTTGTAATAGGGAAAAAAGCTACATGACTAGCACGTCTACTAATACTTGTTTTCTCTGTCAGTGTAGGGAATGGGTATTTGTTTCTTGTTGATGGGGTCTAAACTGATAAGGATATTTCAGAGCAATTTGTATTAGATAACAAATATCTTAGGACCATGCATACCCTTAGCAGTATGTCCTAAAGAAGTACCTATCAAGTGTTCATAAAAGTATAATTGTAGGCATATTTATTGCAGAGCTTTCTACTTAATTGGTACCAACTTATTATAATATTAATATTTGATTTCATTTTTTAAAAGTATTATAGGCATACTTCATTTTATTGCACTTTGCTTCATTACACTTTTCAGATACTGTGTTTTTTGACAAATTGAAAGTTTGTGGCAACCCTGCATTAAGCAAGTCTGTCCATGCCATTTTTCCAACAGCATTTGCTTACTTCATGTCTTTGTGTCCCATTTTGGTAATTCTCGCAATATTTCAGACTTTTAAATTATATCTGTTATGGTAATCTGTGATGAGTAATCTTTGTTGTTACTGTTGTCATTGTTTTGGGGTGCCACAAATCGCACTCATAAGACGGCAAACTTAATTGATAAATGTTGTGTGTGTGTTCTGACTGCTCCACTGACCTGTCATTCCCTCATCTCTTTCCCACTCCCTATTTCCTAAGACACAACAATATTGAAATTAGGCTGTAGGGTTATTAAACCCTACAGCGGCCTCTAAGTGTTCAGGTGAAATGAAGAGTTACATGTCTCTCACTTTAAAATGAAAAGCTAGAAATGAATAAACCTAGTGAAGAAGGCATGTTCAAAGCTGAGATAAGCTGAAAGTTAGGCTTCTTGTGCCAGTTGAGTTGTGACTACAAAGGAAAAGTTCTTGAAGGAAATTAAAGGTGCTACTCCAGTGAAAACACGAATGTTAAGAAAACAAAACAGCCTTATTGCTTAAATGGAGAAAGTTTCAGTGGTCTGGATAGAAAATCAAACCACCCACAACATTCCCTTAAGCTAAAGCCAAATTCAGAGCAAGACCCTAACTCTTCAATTCTTTTTTTTTTTTTTTTTTAATATATTTTATTGATTTTTTACAGAGAGGAAGGGAGAGGTATAGAGAGTTAGAAACATTGATGAGAGAGGAACATTGATCAGCTGCCTCCTTCACACTCCCTACTGGGGATGTGCCCACAACCAAGGTACATGCCCTTGGCCGGAATCGAACCCGGGACCTTTCAGTCCGCAGGCCGACGCTCTATCCACTGAGCCAAAGTGGTTAGGGCAACTCTTCAATTCTTTGAAGGCTAAGAGAGGTAGTAGGGAGCCTGCAGAAATCTATCTATATAATAAAGGCCTAAGCAACCATTATGGCTGAATGACCAGAACAACCTGTCACTGTGATGCGCACTGACCACCAGGGGGCAGACGATCAACGCAGGAGCTGCCTCCTGGTGGTCAGTGCGGGAGCGCTGCTCAGCCAGAAGCCGGGCTCACAGCTGGGGAGTGCAGCGGTGGTGATGGGAGCCTCTCCTGCCTCCTTGGCAGTGCTAAGGAGCAGTGAGCTGATGGGTAAGGAACAGCGAGCAGGCAGGCGGTAAGGAGTAAGGGCTCCTAGACTGCGAGAGGGCACAGGCTGAGCTGAGGCACCTCCCCCCGCCCCCCACTACCTGCCTCAGTGCATGAATTCTGTGCACTAGGCCTCTAGTCCTTTATGAAAGGAAGAGTTCATTGATGTGCAAACTTCATTGGTCTTATTTAAAGATATTGCCACAACCACACCAAGCTTCAGCAGCCATCACCTTTACCATCAGCATTTAGCTAAGACCCTCTACCAGCAAAAAGACTATATCACTTGCTGAAGACCCAAATTTTGCTTAGCATTTTTTAGTAGTATTTTTAAATTAAGGTATGTACATTGTTTTATAGACATAGTGCTATTGCACACTTAGTAGACTACAGTATAGTGTAAACATAATTTTGTTGTACACTAGAAAACAAAAAAAATACATGTGACTCACTAAAGCGTTACTTTATTGTGGTGGTCTGGAACCAAACCCTCAATATCTCTCAGGTATGTCTCTGTATCTTTAATAGAATACTATGAAGCCATTAAAAATAATACTCTAGTTTAATAGTAAATACCAGTTGAAGCATTCTCAATTTATTAAGTACAAAAAGTTAAAGCATGCAGGACTTTCCACACATATTTTTAAAAACTGTTTTTAATGTGCTTAATTATATATGAAATAGTTATAGATTTATATACATGTATATATTAGCCAGTGTAGATAACAAATACAATGTTTATCTTTGAATATCAGAATTATTTATGGGCATCTTGCATCTTTAGTTTCTTTTTGCTTATCTATATTCTCTACAGTGAATGAGTTTTACATTTGTAATAAGGAAAAAAGTTTATTACAAAAGGAGGAAAGAAATGAAAAATGATTTGTTCAGTGATTTAATTTGTAGTGAACAAACTTTAGGGCCAGAGGAGATAAATAAATTGGCCACATAACTAATTCATGGCTGAGTAGGAATTCAGGGAACCTATATTTCAAGCTTCAGTTACAGTGTTCTTTCTGTTGTGTCATAATACATCCTTTTGTCTTTGATGAACCATTTCAACATAAATGTGGTTCTTTCAACTACAGTCTCAATTCTGTCTATACTTGTTCATAAATATATGTATTTTTTATGATAATTCTTTGGAAGTATATAATAAATGAACTAGTGGAAATTCAAAATAATCTTACAGTCTTAAGCAGGTGTAAGTTATTGTTATCCAGTCTGGTTATATGAGAGTTAGCAGTGGTAATGGCTTTAATCTGATGTTCAGTTTGTACAGTTTGTAATAAGAGGTTTAGAACACAACAGTCCAGATAGGTGTTCATTAGTTTCTGCATTTGATTATACATTTTTATGTATATGACATTAATATAATATGTTAGCTTGGGAAAGCCTATTTTCTGTGAAATAATAAAACTTTGCATAGAGCTTTGTCCTAATTTTCCTTCAAAATTATAACATGTTTAGCAAAAGTTTTTCTTGAAAGAAGTCAAATAAAACCTGACATTTTCTTGCTTATATTAGCACAGTAGTAAGTTTTTTAAATGAAAATGTTTTATCATTCTATTAACTATCAGTAGTTTGGGCATCAATAGGTCGTAAGTTTAAATGTTATAATTAATAGGTAATAAGTTAAAATATAATAAAAGAAAAACCTGGTTTTCAAATGAATGTTTACTACTTGGGATTTCTCTTATGGATAGTTTTGTGTAAAATAATCATTGTATATTGCAAAAAATATTTTTTAAAATACAGATGAACAAAAAGGACATAAAATGATCCACCAATGAAAGGTAGGATCTCTGGTAACATATTGGCATATATCATTGATACCCAACTGGGACAGGGTAGAGAGAGCGGACGGACTGATGGTCTGCTCTCAATACCAATACCCCCAACACACGACAGTGTGGTAAGAGTTGTTATTGATAAAAATGTGTTTCATAAATGAATATGAGGAAGCAGAAAAAAATAGTGAATCATTGACATATATTTCACTTATTTTCTGTGTATAGCTACATCTAATTTTTAAAATTAGCATCATACTATTTCATCACTTGTTTTTAATTCAGTGATAAGTATTTTTTGTCATCTTTTCTTTTGGACTTTTAAAGTAAAATCATGGATACTTAATTAATATTTAATGATTTAATTTGCTGTCTTATTAAGACTTTTTCCCTCTCGTACTTTATTGCTCAGCATTTCTAGAATTGCTGAGGTTATCTGGTTTCCTTGTAGGCCCTAATTAGATGTTTATTCTTTCGTTGTGTTCGTGAGCATCCACATTTTATTCAGTGATTTCTGTACATTATTGTAAAATGGGGAAAACATCATATTTATCACTGGGACCGTTGAAATCTTGTGTTGGTTTATATGGCATATTTTTTTTCTATATCCAATACAGATAATCACATAGGGAACAAACTTCCAATTTTACCTCAAAACAAAAACCTAACTACTGTATGAAAAAGTTTGAAGGCTTAGAGTTTTTGTTGCTTTTTATTCTTTCTTTATTTGTTATCAAGAAAAGGGAATAAGTTTTCTGTTTAAGAATTCTCTTTCCATCAGGTAGTATATGGAACTTTGTTTTTATGGTTATACTTTAGATGCTTCTTTTTGTCTTTGTTAGGACAATCAGTTGACATCACTTCCCTTGGATTTTGGAACTTGGACCAGTATGGTAGAATTGAATTTAGCCACTAATCAGCTCACAAAGATCCCTGAGGATGTGTCTGGTCTTGTTTCTCTTGAGGTGTGTATAAAAGAGCATTTAGAACTCCTTAGATCCTTCTACAGTTATCTCACTTATAAAGTTTCCAATTAAAATAAGCAATTTCTATTTGAGTGAAGATCATAATTAGAAATGTTAGACTCTCTTACACATACAACCCCATTAAGATGATGAAGTGTTGACTTAATCTGGGTCAATGCTTCTGAATGACTCTTGCCCACTGAAGTTGGTAGGTTTGAGTGCTATAAAAGTATCTTTGAAATAAAAGTTTTCTAAGAATTAGCATTTAAAAAGCATTTTTTACAACATTTCCCCCCTTAATTGTTTAAGAACTCTGCACCATTGTCTATCAAAATAATTATGGATTCCTCAGACTGGCATTTAGAACCCTTTATGCAATTCTGGCCTACTTTTCCATTCTAATTACCCACCTACTCTTTTATTTACTATTTAAATAGATATTTTCTTTGTTGGAAATATCTGATATGCTATATGTGTTTTCCTATGGTCGCAACCCACAGGTTGAGAACTGCTGAAGTATGGTATAATGGTTAAAAGCATGAGCTTTGAAGCCAAACAGATCTGAGTACAATTTCACTTTTATCTCTCTGTATTTATGGATTTAAATTTCCCAAGCGTCGGTTTCCTCACCTATGAAATGGGGATAATATGTAGTATTTTTCTTGTAAGGTTGTAGTTGATACATTCAGTATAGTGCCCTGCAAATAGTAAACTCAGTAAATGATAATTGCTATTATGATTATTTTCTTGGTTTAATTGTATATGTTTATTTTATTGTTGATAGTATAACTTTGAAAAAAATACGTTTGCATAAAAAATTAACCAGAACCTTATGTAGATTTTTCCTTTTAGTTTCCTTTTCATTATCCCCATACCCAGTATTGTTTCCCTACATCCCTATTGTAACTTCTCTGAGAACAAGGACTACCTTCTTCAACCTTTTTCCCCCTCTTCAGTATATTGCTGGATATCTTGCAATGTAAATAAATATACCACAAATAACTGTGGTGGATAGATATAGGCAGTTTAGAAGTCAGTTGTTACCTTCCTTAAATGATGGCTTGTAAGAGGTTTGAATTAATAACTGGTTTCCTATTAAACATTTGTAACTTATTTAGTAGCAAAGTACCATTAACTATATGAATCTTGCTATAAGTAATTGTATATATTTTTAAGTTAATAATTATATACATTTTCAATTTAAAGTTAAATTCTTTTGCTTACATTAGTTTAGACTTAATCAAATAAAATCTATTTTTCAAATAACTACGGTGATTTTTTTTTTTTTTTTAGAATAGTAAGTTAAGTATTTTCTGTGATTTACTTGAACATTGTTCTTAATACTCAGTGTTTAGAAAATTAGCATTGCTTAATAAATTTTAAGCCACACGGTGGTAATGTATAATTCCATTTTATGAGTTGCCAAATACTATCAATAATTTCTCCCTAGGTTCTGATATTATCAAATAATCTTCTAAAGAAGCTTCCCCATGGTCTTGGAAACCTTAGGAAGTTAAGAGAGCTGGATCTAGAGGAGAACAAATTGGAATCCTTGCCAAATGAAATTGCTTATCTTAAGGATTTACAGGTAAAACATTACTATAATGATTTTATAGTTATATGATTAAAGCTTTTGGATGTATTCCAAATTGCTCATTTTTCTTAAGAATTTGATCTACTTCTTGGACCAGATAGATTTTCCTATTATAGCTTTAGAGCTGAGTTTTATGTTCATTTAACGTGTTTGATTTTGTCTTCCTAACAAATGATATTTTTTGAAAGAAAAACTTATTAATCCTTGTCCTGTCCGATCTAATTTCTCTATTTGTTTATGCTATTGGTTTAGTAGATGTATAGTTCTAAATTTACATCAGTTGTTGGAAATATACATGTAACCATCTTTTCTTACATTGATCTTTCAGAAATTAGTCTTGACAAACAACCAGTTGACCACTCTTCCCAGGGGCATTGGTCACCTTACCAATCTCACACATCTAGGCCTTGGAGAGAACCTACTTACTCATCTTCCTGAGGAAATTGGTATGAAACCTTTGGATGCTTGACTCTGTACTAATAATTTGCTCTTTTAAGTAGTGTTTCAGATAATTATGACAAATCTATTTTTGTCAACTGAGGTTCCAGCAGGCTTAAGGTGTTTTTGTTTTTAGTTTTTGTTTTTTAATAAAACACCAGTAGCTGGTTGGTTGGTTGGTTGGTTGGTTTTGGTTAGTTTTCTTCATAGGAGTAATATTGTGTTTGAGAAAGTTTTAGCATACTTATGTTCTAATAGATATAACCTTAATTTCAAAATTACACAGGCTTGCTTTAAACTAGTAATGTCTTATGCCAAAAGAACATTTCCTTATGAGGCTTTAGAATTAATAATAATATTTGATATTAATATTTGAGAATACTTTAGAATTTTCTAAGTTTTTTTAATATCTATTAACATAACCATCTTGAATTTGAGGCAGTGCAAGTTGTAATCCCATTTTATGAAGAGAGTTGATTGAGATCACAAAGTAGTTTTTAAATTAGTAATTTCATATATTATCTCTCCCATCTATATCATGCTGTTCCATAGGCACTATAGATTAGTGGTGAAGAATGGTTTTGAAGTAAAATAGACAACTCAAAATTTGGCTTTATGGCTTTGGATAAGGTAGGGGAACCCTAAGTTTTAAGTTTTCTGCCTGTAAAATAAGGATAATAATAGTAACTTCTCATAGCATTCTCTGAATATTAAATAAACTATTAAGTGTAAACAAATCTATTACTCGGTAGCCATTATTTTTATTCTTCTACATACCACTATCAAATATCACAAATTTTGAATTTGAAAAATTGGCAACACATGAGGCAACTTTACACCTTTATTTCTAGTGTATTTATGCAGCTGGCCCAGCCATGGGCAAACTACGGCCCGCAGGCCGGATCCGGCCCGTTTGAAATGAATAAAAAAAAAAAGACTGTACCCTTTTATGTAATGATGTTTACTTTGAATTTATATTAGTTCACACAAACACTCCATCCATGCTTTTGTTCCGGCCCTCCGGTCCAGTTTAAGAACCCATTGTGGCCCTCGAGTCAAAAAGTTTGCCCACCCCTGAGCTGGCCTCATGCAGTTGCTTAAAACATTTGCCTAGAAAGTATGAGTATCCTAAGTCTAAGAAAAAAATTAAAAATATTATATAAATTGATTTTTGGCTTACTTTTAAATATGTGATGCCTGACTGGTGTGGTTCAGGGGTGGAGCATCAGCCTATGAACCAGGAGATCACAGTTTCATTCCCCTTCCGGGCACATGCCTAGGTTGCTGGCTCAGTCCCCAGTAAGGGGGCATGTAGGAGGCAGCCGATCAGTGATTCTCTCTAATCATTGGTCGGTCTCTCTCTCTCTCTCTCTCTCTCTCTCTCTCTCTCTCTTTCTCTCTTTCTCTTTCTCTCTCCCTCCCTCCCTCCCTCTCTCTCCCTCTCTCCCCACCCTCCCTCTTTTCCTCTCCCTCTCCCTCTTTTCCTCTCCCTTCCTCTCTGAAATTAATAAAAATATTAAAAAAAAATATGTGATGCCTTAGTGAAAGATTTATACAAACTAACAAAAACTTTTCCACATGAGAAATTAATACGAGAGATTGTCACATTGTCTACAACAGAAAATGATTACAGGCACTGACTATACAATAAACTAATCTCTGGAGTTCAAAACAAAACAAAACACAAAAACCTCTCCAACCTTGAAAACCAGCCAAAAAGGAAGGTTCTAATTTAACTGATATGGACAGTGTGACCTGGATATTGGCATTTTCCACATTTCCCCAGTTGATTTGAACATGCAGTAAAGCTTGAGACTCGCAGTTGTAGAGAGTTTTAAAATGAGGAGAAGAAAGTAAGAGGAAATAGGTATTTCAGTACATGTAATGCTCAGGACAGCATCATGCCATTGAATTTATTTTAGTAGTAACTGATTTTTAAAAAAATAGTAATTGATTTGATTTTTTTTTTTTTTTAAACAGGTACACTGGAGAACCTAGAAGAACTGTATTTGAATGACAACCCCAACCTGCATAGCCTTCCCTTTGAGCTGGCTCTTTGCAGCAAGCTTTCAATCATGAGTATTGAGAACTGTCCACTCAGTCACCTTCCACCTCAGATTGTTGCTGGGGGTCCTTCTTTCATCATTCAGTTCTTAAAGATGCAGGGTCCATATCGTGCCATGGTCTGATACAAATCTGCTGTCCCACACACTGTTCACAAATAGACTGCCATTAACGTTTCATATCTATATCTGTGTCTATTTATGTAGATATTGATATATTTGGCAGATTTATAAAGTCTGCATTATGTGTTTCTGCTAATAGAGGAATCATAGCCATTTAGATTTTTTTAAAATTTCTGTACAAAAGGCTTATATAAGTTTTCTTTGCTGAACTTGATGGATGTTTTCCTATTGTGTAATATGCCAGTTTGCTCAAGACATTTGTAAACAAATTATGAACTTATTAAATTTAAGGGGCAGAGGTAGTACAGTTAGATATACTTTCTCTTAGCAAAAATAACGGGCAAATAATTTTGTTGCAACTTTTCATACATATTTTCCCCTTACCAGTTGTCAGATCTTTATAATATTATAGGCCCTGATGGTAGAATTTTTTCTTTAACTTATTTTGAAATTTGAGATTTAAATTTTATATATTGTTTACAGTCAGAGTAAATCACTGGATTTTTTGTTGTTATTGTTTTGATTTGCTCTGTTTTAATCAGTCAAATCTAGAGTTTATATCCTCTGCAAAGAATTTGCATCAGCTGGTTTAAATATAAAAGATATTTGCTTTTTTGAAACAACTGGCAAAGTGAAAAGATAGTCAAAATTCTAGAATTCCTGTAATTGTGATTCTCAGATCAATTGTGAAGCAAAATATTTGAATTGAGTCTTTCGGTTGTGGGGGAGGAGGGTATTGAGACTTTTTCTAGTATAAATATCTTTTCTTAAGTTTGGGGGAACAGAAACTTGTAGCGCAAAGGAGTTTTCATTCCTGAAACTTGCAGGTCCACAAAAAATAACAAAAATTTGGCAAAAAAATATACATACACACACATACTATATATGTATATACAATGCTATATAGATATGTATTTATTATATCATAAACTACAGTAGGTAACTTTAAGGATTTCTCCCTAGCCTTGTACAATGAAAATGAATGTTTTTCTTTGAACACTGCAATATATGTATGTTTCAAGGTTATTTAACAGTGTACTATGGTTTTATATCTTGACTTGCCTTGTACATCTTTCAGTTCTGGAATATCTGCGTCTAAGCACAATATCTTCACACTGTGCTCTATTGCTGCTGAACTAAATGCACTTTTCCCCACATGTGGGGCACTGGCTTCACACAATTCAGTTCAGTACCATTGATTTTAATATTATCTTTCCTTTCCTGGTAGTTGTTAATATAGTTATGGAAAAGAGGCATATTGCATAGAAGCCATTGGTAGTTCAGTGGGAGTTCTGTAAGATGTGCCTGTGCTCTTTGATGTATTTTCTTTGCTTTACTGCTTTTAGTCTGGCAGTGTTGTAAATGCGTGCCCCTTATACAGTACTTTTACTTTTGATAGTGTCAGTCTAAGTCAGTTTAATTTTTGAAGAGACAGAGTAAGTGCATTCTAGGTATCATTCTAAAAAACACATCCCATATAAAGAATAACTATTATGTGTAATTACATATTGCTGCTTGGATTTCTTTTTTTTATTTCCATTTAGGTGGGCATTGTGTTTTAAAGAAAACCATTTTTGAATTAAGGCCATGATATTATGATAGAAATTTGGAGTGTTGTTTTGCTTTTCCTGGTGCTCAAAATCAGGACTAAGTTTGAGGTGGAACCTATATTCGTAATTGGCAAATTTTTAAGGAGCAACTAAGAAATGGAAGGCAGGTGAAGATATAAAACCCTAGAATGCTTCAATGTGCTGTAAAACTATTGTAGATGTCACTGGATTTTACCAAGTAATATCCTTTCTTCTTTTCCCCCCATCTACTGTGGCTTTTCAATTAAAATTTTGTTTATAAAAGGAATTTGTTTATTACAGCTCTACCTAGAGCTTGTGTGTATGTGTGGTTTTTAAAAATTTTATATCTGGGGTGCTTATGTATTATGATGGTGGAACTTGAACTTTAAAGGGAGTAGCATCCTAATGTCTTTTTTTGGGGGTGGGGGGTGGGGGAAGGGGGAGGTATTATTTCTTTACAACAAAAATAGATACTGTTTTTTAAGCATTTTGGTTACCCTACCTTCATTTACTAGTATATTGGTCTATACAAATACAGAATGATCAAAATCTTACATGTACTAGTAGAAGTGATGTTATAGACAAATCATATATAGCTGAGGAGTTATAAAATTTTTTAAGAAGCATAAAACATACGTTTTGGGTATGGCTTCCACATTGTAAGAGCCCATGAATTTCATTACTTCTAACAAAAAACTAAAGTGGACTCTAATTGGGATATCCTTGTGAAATCAAAATATTTAATATTTAAATAGAATGTAAGGGATATTGTTGACTATGTGTGAGCTAATACTTTTCGTGTATATCCAAAATTTTTCTTTTAAAGAAAGGATTTAGTCTTTTCATGAGGCTCAGTAAATTAAAAAAAAAAAAGTCGTAGAATGTTACATTGCTCTAAACTTTGCTTTTTGTTGATATACAGGGTGGGGCAAAAGTAGGTTTACAGTTTGTATGGAAGATAATACAATAATTAATAAATAATAATACAAGAATAAAGTGTTTCATATACTCACAGCTGTAAACCTACTTTTGCCCCATCCTGTATAGTAGCAAAACAGTAACTGTCAAACAGTCCTTTTGTGGTAGTTTAATACTTTTAAAATTCCAAATGATTATTTCATACAGAAAGAAGCAGGGAGATGCTAACTAATTTAGAAACTTGATAGATACAAATGAAAGCAGTAGAATATAAAAACTCTTGAAGGAGAAAAAAAACACAAAAATTTATTTGTACTTATATTAAAAGGTGGGTGATGCCATTGGAATGAGTTCTAAAAATGTGATTACGGCCGAAACCGGTTTGGCTCAGTGGATAGAGCGTCAGCCTGCGGACTGAGAGGTCCCGGGTTCGATTCCGGTCAAGGGCATGTACCTTGGTTGCGGGCACATCCCCGGTGGGGGATGTGCAGGAGGCAGCTGATCGATGTTTCTCTCTCATCGATGTTTCTAACTCTCTCTATCTCTCTCCCTTCCTCTCTGTGAAAAATCAATAAAATATATTTTAAAAAAAAATGTGATTACGTATTTCTAATTTATCAAGTCTGAATCATTAAAAATGGACAAGCTGTTATACATCACAATTTAGTCTTTCTGTGGTAACATTTTTTATAACTTTTACTTTTCATCTCAGTTATTGCTAAGCCATGTGTATTGAATCCAGATTTCAGCTTGCAGCATTTGTAATTGTTCATCAATAAGAATGGGTAGTGGTTTAAGTATATTAAATGGGACACTTTGAAATGGAAAGGGGGTGCTACCAATCATTATATTGGGCCAACAGCTGTACATCAGAACTCTCTCTGGAAAATCAGGATATGTGGTTACTCTTGCATGATTAAGATTAGATGAAAGCAAATGTCACAATCCAAAAATAAGCAGAAGAGTAGATTCGTGAAATTTTCAAATTTAAAATGAATAACTTGTAAGGAAAGGTTTCCTTCTGCCTATACTAGAGGATAGGTAGTATACCAAATATCTAAAACTTTTTTCTTGCTTTATTCTGGTTATTTTAGCCATTGAGAGCCAGTTGGGGCAATTGGAAATGTTACAATATTTTAAGAATTTGAATCTGCAGAGTTGTGACATTGATTTGGAATATTCTTAGATTAATAAAGTATTATGAGAATGTTTAATAAAATAGATATCAATACTTTGTTATTGAATAGAATGTCTTCTAAACCTGTTAACACTAAGGAAACATTTGGTTTATTTTACACTTTGAAATATAAATATTTTGGGGGGGGGGGATTTTTAACTTTTAAACTGAAGTTGTTATTAACCTTAAAGAACTTTATATATACTTAATTATCCTGCTAACATTATATATTCTAAACATAAACTTTTTAATGTAAATGCTTGTTAGTGTTAGGACTTTACCTTATCCAGATAGTATTTTATCATGTTTCACATTGGGACTTTTCAAAGTTTGGTAGCAGAAAGAGTGTCCAGTACTAAAAGTAGTACAGACAAGGCTGTCAGGTGCAGGTCTTGCAGGTTGTGCAGAGTACATCACTACCACTGTATGGGGGAATTTATTCAGAGATTTTTATTTTATTATGGAAGTTTTTTAGCAAATGGCAATAAAGTGCCTTATTCTAACAAAATCAGTATATTATGTCAAATTTCTGAGAGATGGAAGTAAAGAGTCTTCAGAAAAGATCATTTCACTCCCCCTTCTAAATTGCACAGTGGTACTAGTGGGGGCTAATGGGAAATTCTGTCTTCATGCAGATTATTAGGGCTCTAGCCTAACAATTCTATTAATAATTGAGTAATATTTCAGTGACATTATAAGCATTTAATTTGTTACAGGTACTAGTAAAAATTATCTTACTTGGGAAACCTAATTAGAGTCTAAAGGTGCTTTATCTGTGACCATTATTATTTATATTTCATAAGTCATCTAATTTATTGTTTATCATTACTGGTATTATTTATGTAGAGAATTTAACCTTCTACTGGTCTGATCAGGCTTAATCTACAAATACAATTCACAGTTGTTGTCAATACCTTTTACTTTTTATGATTTTGTGGACATTACTCTTCAGTAAGTCTAGCTATCTAGCTATCACTTAAAACCTGGTGTCTACCACTAAAGAAAATGTATATGACTCAATTTATTTTAATATATGTTTTTAATAGAACAGTATACTAATGTATAATTTTTCCTCATTTAGTGATTTTCTTACCTCAAAACTCATTTTATCATAGTTCAGTCTTATAATTGCTAGATAAGAATGTAACAGAGTATTTTGTATAATGGTGTCCTTTGATTATATTTTAATTTGCATGTTATAACTTGTTTTTAATTAGCTACATGATAATTTGCAAAGCACACAGTTTATAAAGTGCAGAGAGAAAAACTCTACAAAAAAACTCTACAAAAGTGGTATCTAAAAACATTTAACAATTTTGACCTTTCTCCTATTAAAGAGGAAACTTCCACTGATGTTTAACAGATTTTGTGCTGTGGTACATATTTAGCTATTTTGAATTACAAAGCTAAAAGGCGTAAATAGCCTTGAAAAAAATACATTTCTAACCTGAATTGAATTAATGATTATTTTGACTAGAAATTCTTTTACCTCTTTAGTCATTCTGTAGTAAGGTACTCAGTATAAATAATGTATTTGTAAATGTTTTGCCATTGAGACTTATAAAAGTTTTTCCAATTTTGCATGTAACTTAAGTTGCCCATGAAATCTGTGCAATGTCATTGAACCACAAAAATGTGGAACTAAGCAATGCAATATAATTATATTGTTTATATTTATTATTTACAGCATTCAAAACTATGGTTTGTGTTTGTGTGTTTGTTTGTTTTTTAATCTTAGAGGAAGAGATGGGGAGAGAGAAACATCGATTGGTTGCCTCCCGTACATGCCCTGACCAGGAATCGAACCTGCCACCTTTTGGTGTACAGGGATGATGCTCCAACCATCTGAGCCACACTGGCCAGGGCTCTTTTTTTTTTTTTTTTTTTTTAAGGGACTACATAAAGAATCCTGTATAATAAAAGGCTAGTATGCAAATCAACCAAACAGCATAATGACCAGTCCCTATGATGTGCACTGACCACCAGGGGGCTGACACTCAAGCAGGAGTTGCCCCCCGGTGGTCAGTGCACTCCCACAGGGGGAGTGCTGCTCGGCCAGAAGCCCCCGAGGGCTTCTGAAGTGCAAGAGGGAGCAGCCGGGCTGAGGGAACCCCCGCTACTTCTCCGCCCACCCCCCCCATCAGTGTATGAATGTCGTGCACCAGGCCTCTAGTATATAATGAAGACTGTCCTATTATGGAAACACTGATTTAGTAGAGGTGATTTCCCCATTCTCAGCCTTAATGAAGAAAATGCTTTTTGTGGTGGTTTGTAACTGTTCATAAGGTCCTTTCTGCTGTTTACTATGTCTTGGTAACTAAAAGTTGAAGTTTAATGACTAAACATTATTTGTATTTTTAAGTGTTCATAAGAACAAAAGCTATAAGGGTAAGGGGACCTTCCAAGTTGGAACTATTTAATTGGCTGAAGAAAACTTATCAGGGAAGGTAACATAATTAGTCCTTTGCACAACTTGATTTTCATCTTTACTCTTAAGATTCTTTGATATGTCTTTTTTTTTTTTTTTAAAGTTTGAGAAGAATGAGTTGAAGGGAATCAAAACGAGAGATCAAGCAGTCAGGTGGAGAGCCTGATGGAGTAATCTAGGCAAGAGGTAACCATGGCTTTGATTGGGATTGTAGCACTGGGGATGAAAAGAAAGACATTGAAGGGAGCCTTAGGAAGAGGTATTAGTGAGACTTCATGACTGATTGGAAAAGCTGAGTTAGAGAATCAAGGTTACTCCCAAAATTACAGCATAAACATCTGATGTATGGAAGTTGGCAGCAGGACCAGGTTCTTTTAGTTTGTGTGTAAGGAGAGGATGTGTTCTGGTACCTGCAGGACATTAATTGGTGACTCCAAGTAAGCATTTGGATAGTTAAATCCAATGCTTAGAAGGTTAGGTTGGAAAACATGATCTAGCATATAAATTAAAATTGAAGCAAGAATTTTCTAGGGAGAGCAGGTAGAATGGGAAAAGGATAGAATCCCCTAGGATGGAATCCTGATCAACACCAACATTTAACTTTTGGGTACTTAGGGAGGAGTCTGCAGAAATTGAGAAGTTGCTATAAAAGAAGTGGGAAGGAAATATTTAGTAAATAGAATAGCCAATTTTATTGAGTTCAATTCTTCTAACTTCTTAGTATATTCTTCAGTATTTTACTTCCCACACTATTTTTTCTAGGATCTGCACTATACAAAATAGTTG